GGCAGGGCTGGCCCACTGCCCTGGGGCCTTGCTCTTGAAACCAGCTGTGGTTTGTTCCCATGCACTGGCGCACAGGCCGGCGGCCCACGCCAGACCCACCTGGGTTTGCATCCTGGCTTCCTCACTGTGTTCATTTCCTGTGGCAGCTGCATCAGATCACCACAAATTGGGTGCCTTGAAACAACAGGAATGTGCTCTGTCACAGTTCTGGGGGCCAGAGTCTGAAGCCTGGCAGAGGCTCTTGGGGAGGACCCATGCCTGGCCTCTTCTGGCTCTGGGGGCTGCCAGCATTCCTTGGCTTGTGGCTGCATCACCCAGTCCCTGCCTCATGCCACATTGCTCTGTCTGCATCCACCTCTGCCTCTCTTCTAGGGACACTTGTGATGGCATCTAGGGCTCACCCAGACAATCCAGGACGCTCCCTCATCTCAATCGCATCTGCCAAGACGCTTTTTCCAAACAAGGTCACACTTACAGGTTCCAGGGATCAGGACCTGGATGTCCTTTGGTATATACGTTTTAGTCTGTCACACCCATGAGCTGTCCAGTGACCTTACTGCTCTGAGCCTCAGTGATCTCATCTGTAGATTGGGAATGAAAACTGTGTTTTCACAGGGTCTTGTATAATCACCAATCATATGAGCAGGTGACAGTAGGACCGGGCCTCTCTGTGGTTGAGCCTTGCCCCTCCCCTCCGGCCTCTGAGGGCTGTTCGTATCTCCTGGGGCAGCTTCTTCCTGCCTCCCCATTGACCACTGGCCTGTTCTGGTTCTGGAGACAGTTCAAGAGGACCTGGGAGGCCTGTGTCCTCAGGGCCTCTCTTCTGAGACCTGTCCTCATCTCCACCCATTGCTTTTCCTTGCCAGCCAGCTCCCGGCATCGAGGTGGGTGCGTTGCCGCGGTGCGCAGGCTTGGCCCTTGGCAAGGGTTAGACACGTGCAGGCTCCCCTCCTCCTCTGCGGCCTCTTCGTGGAGCTTCTGCTCCCTCCCACGCCCACGTGTTCTCCCACACCAAACCTGGTCTTTCCGTTTTCCAGGTAAATGTCCCGAAAGTTAGGGACCTTGCCCGAGGCTGCCCAGCATGTCAACCACGGACCCAGGGTCTGGGCCACCTCCCCTCCTCTTCTGGAGGAACTGGGCAGGCCCTGCTCCAAGTTGAGACCCAGGAGCACCCCTGGAGGTAGCACCGTCACCGCTGGGTGCTAAATGCACCGCGACACTCAGAGAAAATCACTCACAACCTTGCTTCATTGCCCGATGGAGGAAGAGGTTTCCAGGCCAGCAATCCTGCTCGTGGCCGAGGGTGTGTCCATGAGCAGGGTGCCCAGACCTGCCAGGGGCTGCAGAGCAGGAGGGCTGGGTCTGGGGAAGGGGCTTTTTGCCAGATGAGCCAGGGCTCCAGGCAGATGTACCTCCCCCTTTCTCTGCCCGCCCCTGGGAAAGTGGGGGCTCAGCTCTGAGGGGTACAGGCCCAGGCTGTGGGAGCTGGGCTGTGCTTGACTTAGGATGGGAAGAGGTGGGATGGATGGGCCTCTCACATTCATGTAACCAAGTGTCTGGGGTCTCCACGGCGCAGCTCCGAGCCTGGTGTGCAGCTGACACTTGGTGCCCCATCACAGGCATGGAGCAGGCTGGAGTGAGCCCCAAGGCCCACCTCACCGGTGGGCACCTGCAGCCCCTCCCTGCAGAGGGCAGAGGGCCTAGGGCTGGCACAGATGCCTGTTCAGGACCAGGATGGGCCAGTCTCCTGTGGGCATCGGGTGGCCTGACCCTTGTGTCTGAGGCTGTTGTGCAGCAGCCTGAGGGCTCCCCCAGGATGCTTCTGGGGACACGTGGGTGACAGGGCTCTGGCTGCTCTGTACCGATCTGCCTGGCAAGGACAGAGTCTGGCACCAGGACCATTCGGGCAACTTCCATCCTGGCCCCTCACTGACTCCTCTTCACATCTTGCCGCCCTAACCTCTGCGTTCCTTTACGAGTGTGTGTTTCTACCTACATGCCTTTCTCCTGCGGTTCTCTGCGTGGACTGTGGTTCTTAACTTGGCCACGGCCACGGTTCAGCTTGTGTGGAGTGCACTGCAGGGACCCACTGCAGCAGGTGGCGAGGCAGGAGGAGCCTGGGGCAGGCGAGAGGGGCCGGGGGCCTCTGGTGCTCCGTGTCCTGGGTCTGCAGGGCTGTGACTGATGAGGGTGAGGGGGCTTGCCTTTAGCTCTGGGGATAGATAGGCCAGGATTTGGTTTCTTGCCACTTGGTCCTACCTTAGGAGTTGGGAGCTCCCCACATGCAAAAGGGAAGAGTTACAGAGCTCAGGGCTGGGGAGAGAGGGAGGAGCCTCCCCAGGCCTTGTAGCTGGGAACAGGGACCCCAGAAAGCAGCCTAGGGGCTCAGAAAAAGACTCTTTGGGGCTGCGGTTTCACACCAGCGGTTCTCAACCTGTGGGTCGCGACCCATTTGGCGGTTGAACGACCCTTTCACAGTGGTCGCCTAAGACCATCCTGCATATCAGATATTTACATTATGATTCATAACAATAGCAACACTACAGTTCTGAAGTAGCAACGAAAATAATGTTATGGTTGGATCACAACATGAGGAACTGTATTTAAAGGGCCAGAACGTTGAGAACCACTGCTTTAGACTCTCAGTAGCGGAACCCTTTCTTCACGCACGATGGGCACGGGGCATCTATGTGCGTGATGGACGTGGGGAAGGTCGAGAGCCCCAGAAGGCCTGCTCCTCCAAGAACCGCTCAGACCCAGGTGGGGGACACACACCTGGAGGGTCCCTCCTGGGAGCTCACCTTTTGCTTTCCTTTGTATGTGTAACACCTTTGTGCCAACTCAGCCTGCCTCTCTGGCCTTCAGAGGGGCCCGGCTCAGCTTGCTGGACTCACTGGGCCAGGGGAGCCCTGGGGGTCAACATGAGGACCCCAGTGGGCCTGGGCTGGTGTCTGGTCCTGCCACCACCCTGCCTGGAGACATGGGTCCAGGGAGAAGCTCTGCAGCTCCAGCTTGTTTTTGTGAAGGCAGCACTGTCACCCGGGTAGTTTTTGGGACGATCTTTGTTCTGAGCAGACGGAGCGCCCCATCCTGGGCCTGCTCTGTACTGTATGTCCAGATATCCCTGTGTGGCTTCCTTCCTCCTCATTGGCTGTGGGGTGTGGCATGTGGTGCTGGCCTGTGCCGTGGGCAGTGCAGTGGAAAGAAAGGCACAAAGGCCGGCTGTGGGCAGAGGGGGCGGGCACATCCATGGGTCCTGCTCTGGTGGCTCCTCCAAGGTGGGTGCAGGGAGGCCACCCTCAGGCCATTGCCCCCTGCCCCTAACCTTGGGAAAAGCGAAGGCCAAATGAATAGAAGGAATAATAGAATGAGTGATGCAAAAGGTTGTCAGCCTGGGAAATAGAAAATAAAAACTACGAGGCGAACCCAGTAAAAATAAAATAAAAAATAAAAGAAGCTCAAATAAAGTAAATACAAGCTGAGAAACAGTAAAAGTGAGATGAAAGAGTTTAACAAGATGAGGAAGGAAGACAAAGTAGAGGTAGGCAACTAATGCAACAAAAGCAGAGGTGAAGTAAGCAACACAGAGGGGCTGTTCTGTTTTTTAAAGAAAATCCTGGTGGGGTCAGAGGGATTTCCTGAGCTCAATCCTGGCGAGGGTGGGTCCCTGGAGCCCAGGGGCAGGCCCAGCCTGGGGCTCTGGCTGCAGGGCTCCAAGCCTGACTCCTTCTAAGCTGCTGGCTGGCTCCTCCCGGGCCTGGGCTGAATTGTCCAAGGAGTCCTGGGTTGGCTCCACACTGGGGAGAGGGGGAGTCGGGAACAGTACGTGTCTAGTCGGAGGCTCTCCAGGAGGAAATTACTGGGGAGGGGACACTCCTGTAGGGGCTGTGCCAGGGCAGCAGTCCCCTGGGAGGGTGAGGATCCAGTCGGCCCTTCCTTAGTCCCGTTATTGGTGGAGTGAAAGGAAGGTGAGAGAGAAAGGAGAGGTGTGCAACTCATTTTAAAAAAACTTTCTTGATATTTTGTAACTTTAAAATAATGTCCATATACTTTACTATGGCCAACGAGGTCCTGGATGTCAGAGCTTTTGCTATTCTCCAATCTCATCGTATTCACCTCTCACCCTCATACCTGCTGCTCTCACTTGGATGGGTAATGGCATCTCATACATAACACACCCAACCAGAATGCTCCACTTCCTCCCAATGCTCCTTCCCCACCTCAGTAAACAGCGCCATCACTCGTCCCATTGTGCACACTGACATGTCTTCATTCTCTGGACCAAGCCCAGCAGCAGGTCCTGCCAGCTCCACCTTGGAAGTGTGCAATGACAAAGCTTTAAGTTGCAGTGGTTGTGGCTTCCAGTGGCCCACCGCGGCCTCTCTCCCTGCCTCAACAGTTCACCTGCAGCTCTGGCAGCAAGCTCCTGGCCTCCAGGTGTTCCAGCTGAGATTCCCGGTGGGCCCAGTGCATTTTTGCACCCCTTTCAGTTTCCTTGTGTAGAGTCACTCTGAAGATCTTTTTGGAAAAAGCAATCATTTGTGTTGGCTGAACTCTGTGCAAAAGAAGGGTTTATTGACTGAGTTACAATTTCCGTGGGTACACCGTTGTGAAGCGAGAAGCAAAACCAATAGGACTGAGTCCTGTGTCTGCCAGCAACTCACCTGCTGTCTTGGGCCAGCCCCTTCTTCCTCTGAGCCTCAGGCGTCCCCTGAAATGAGTATGCACCATGTGACACAGAGCTTGCGAATCTGGCTTCCCTAGCCAGGTGTTTACAGTAGGGGTGAATTTGTTCATTGGGTAGGGCTGCTTCCCCAGAAGCTTGATTTTGGCAGGCAGCTTTTGCAGTCCCAGAGGTTATCAGGGCTTAAAGGGACTGGGCTGGCCAGGATCAATAAGTAATTAGGGGCTTGATGAGCCTGATAGAGCCCCAATAAAGTCTCTGAATCTAGCAATCCCGACTTCAGTTTGCAGCGAGGATTCAAATCATCTTGCTTGAGATGGGTGTGCAGAGGGCCCAGATCTCTGGGCCTGCCTCCCAGCTCCAGGGGAAAGGGGCCTATGCAGAGGGCCCTCGCGGCCAGGTAAGGGGTGCCCAGGGCGTTCCGGTCTGGCAGAGGACACTGGCCTGGCCTGGGAGCAGAGATGAGCATCTGGGGATGGCAAAGGACCCCACACTGTGGGAAATGGAGGGGTGGGGGTCCCCAGGACAGGAGGTGAGGCTGCCCAGGCCAACAGCTTCCAGGGGATTCCAACCTGAGTCCTAGCCTCAGGTCCCAACCAGAGGGACCTCATCATCCAAACCAGAAACAGCCAGAAGTCTTCCCAAAACTGCATGTGTTGGTGGGTTGCCTTCTTAATATTTGGAAGGGTCTGAGGCTTGTCTCGCTGCAATCATGCTTCCCCCACCTGGCAAGAGAAACTACCTGGGTGAGAAGTGTCACACGCCGACCCTGCTAACACCTGCAGGGGCTCACACAGCAAGTGGGGGCCCTTGACACTGTGGCTCTTGACCTCAGGTTTGAGCCCCGGACCACACCCACCCTCTTCCCAAAGTGGAAACAGTCACCACAGGAACCAAACTGTTATATAATAAACCCCCGACTTCCCTGCTCCCTACAACCAGCGAATGGTGGGACTGTGAGGGGATGAGCATGGAGGCTTGCGGGTTGGAGAGGCTGGGGGCATATTGCACAGTTCAGGCCCCTAAGGCAGGTTTCTTGAGGAAGTGCTTTTGTGGGGGTGCCCCCTTAGCCTGTAGCCTAGCCTCCCGCAGGCACAGGCATTCCTCTCCTCACCCACCAGCCTCCACATCCCGGAGCTCACGTTGCCTGCCATGTGGCTCCTTGCCGGTTCTCCCAGCCAGTTCTCTTCACCAGGCTGCCCCTGCCCAGCGAGTCAGCCCATCAGCCCACTGCAGAGGCGGCCTCACTGCTCTCCGAGCCTGCTCCCACCTGCACAGGCTCCTCCCCACCTTTCCAAAGTAAAATTTGCTCACAGCTTGGGACACACACACACACACACACACACCCCCTTTTCTTCCTGCCTTGGCTGGCTAATTAGCGTTCATGCCTGGAAGCCTCCCTTCCTCTCCCAGGGTAGCTCCCACTCAACCTTTAGAATGTCACCTTCTCCAGGACGCCCTCCCAGACTCTCCCTCCCAAGCCGTTACAGAGCCCAGGATGCTTGTGCATACGCAGCTCATTCGAGGTCCTTGCCCATCTTTTAATGATCTGGTTTTTTTTGTGTTCGCCTTTCCCACTGCGCGGGGAGTTCCAGGTAAGGGGTGTTGCACGCATGGCTTGGAGCAGGGCAGGGGCCAAGGGGCTCCAGGACTCGCGGGAGCGGCGGCTTGCAGGAGGCTCTGCCTGGGGCGCCCGGGCCGTGCTTCCGCGGAATCCGGGTCTGGGAGGCTCAGCTGCCTCTCCGAAGCCTTGGGTGTGCCACG